ATATACTGGAAATGGCTGTTTAACCTGAGAGTCCAGGGTGTAGAGGAAATACCATTCAACAAACTAGGCCGAAAATTATGTCTATTGTGTAAGCGAACTGTGCAGAATAAAGTTGTTTTGTATTATTACATCATATAAGAATTGTGTGTTTGGAATTATTTGTGCGTCTTTCATTCTACTGAAATTAAGAAGATATTAACTTTTACATATTTTGTGTGCATGAATATTTTATTGACACACCCAGACTAACTAACCTCTTCTGCAATGCGAACATCAACACTCTTCTACACTTAGAATGAATGACTGAAATACAGTCGATTGTGATTATACAGGTTGTCAGAACCCCATAGTTGAGCTGAGTGTAGAATAATACATCTGGATTAGGTGAATCACTGTGGAAAATGCTCAGTTGTTGCAATGCATGCATAAACATGATGGCGTGCAACAGGATAAGACAACGACGGTGCCTACACACAATTCACACGGTTGATAACTGAACATCCATCCATCATGTCGACATCTGACATGAACAGCAGATTTGAAGTAATGGCAATAAGTGAAAAGGGTTCATCCCGTGGATTATAAGAGTGAAGAACGGTGGAATTACGTCGACAGTATCAGGGGTTTTAATGAGGAGAGATTCTCATTCAAACAGAAAAGGAAAGACAGAAGTTATGTTACAGTGGAGTTCTGCTGAATTCCCCGGATTGTGTTTCTGCATTCATTGGAAACAAGTATGGTTGATATGAATGAAGAGGTTTTCAGTCTATTTTCTAAATCGTTTCACCTAAGTTATTACAACTAAGATCATCGTAAGTTTATTTAGACTGCTCGTTTGTTAGTGTGTCAGCTCAACAAACATTTGATTATGTGACTACTACTGAATTTTCTGTATACAGAAAAAGTTTGTCCAGTCTCTTATTAATACCTTGGTCTTAACCTCTTCACTAATCGTTCCCTGTAAAAATTTTGATATTTTCTTTTGTTTTTTAAATTTTACTTTTAGTTTGCTTTTGCTTTGATAATTAATTCACTATTATCAGTTTCATATGCTCCTTTTGTATATTTTCATACCCTCTTCACACTTGTTCAATTGACACTCAACTACAGCCTTTATTCTCACTCAAGAGCAATTTTAACCTTATCAAACTTCTATCTTTGTTCCGTTGAGTACCATGTAATTTACAACTTTTAATTTTCACTTCTAAAGCCACTTATGATTAATTATATCAATTATGTCACCCCCTATTATTCAATAATAGACCACTATATATTTTTGTTGGTATAAATAACGACTGTACAGCCTGTGAAGATGATTTCGTCGATAAAGAAAATTTTCTTCGCTGAATCTGTCTTTTATTTTCTTCATGACTCAATGAGTATTTTCGATGATTTGTTTCTATGATTTCAGTTCAACTCAGTACATTGTTACCTAACTTATTAGTCACTGTGCATCTGACGCACATCTCATCTTTATTATATAACTCCTTTACCATTATATCCATACATTTATTTTGTTTAAACTTGAACTGCCTGTGTAAAAACTATATAAGCGCAATTTTCTGGGCACTGTTCACTAATTGTGGAACTTTCTGTCAACTGACAACATGTAAAATCTGCAAGTATGTTGAAACGTATCTGTACGTAAACCTCATAATTTATTTAGGCTGTAAGCAGCTGATGAGAAGCCAACGAAACAAATAATGGAACCATATTATTCTGCACAAACTACTGTTGTTCTTGCTTTATTCAAATTCATCAATGGGAATAAGTGCATGAATAAATATTACTCAGTGTTGTGTGTTTGGCATTCGCCGCGGCAGTCATCGACAAGATATATGTAATTTCCTTTGAAAATATGATTGTTATTTGTTAGGGGATGAAAGATTTCTTCAGAGAAACTGTGGAGTAGGATTGAACTCGTACTTCTTCGCATAGCATTTTTTCTCCGCTTACGACGTTATTCGTAATTCCATTGAATGTCAATATAGTAAAAACCAACCAAATATATTAGGTGTTCATCTAGTCTGGATTGAATCTATGTGGGTTGAATGAAACCCTAATATCTTCACCACTCGATTTCCCATTTTTTGTAGTATGATTCCAGCAGAAGGTCTATAGTCATTTCCTCTGTAATAATGCACATTACAACCTGTCACTCTGTTGGATATTCAGGTCAACAAAGAGGAGAGGCGAACAGCTACTAAATCCATAATAGTAAAATAAGTTGAATGAAGCGTTTCTAAACAGAAAGTTCAAGTTTCTCGTAAGAGATTGTTAAGGCTCTAGATGTATGAAGTAGATGTAGGCGAAATCCCTTCTAACGACTCGCTTGTACTTTGTACATGACTTTCAAAGTATTCTCTAATGATTTTGTATAACGACAAGCGACCGTAGCCTCCAGAATTGATGTGTTGATTTCCTCCTTTCGACAACCATGTTTGAAGGTGTTCATGGGCAAGTCATGCCGTAGTTATTACTCATCCAGTTAATTTCTTTTGTTACGAAATTGTCCGTAATAGTTGACCTTGGTTCTCAATTAACACTGCCTATCTAAATGTTTTGATGGCTAATCCAGTGACGTAGTATGCTTCTTGGCATGCAGATGAAAATCCTGATAATATAAGTTGTCAGAACTTGATTTAAGTCTGATAACTTTTGATTATCTCGAGCGGAATAAGATTTCAGAAGGACGTGGTGACAGTTCCTCCTTCAATATACTGATTGCATAATTCACTGGAGTAGATCTCTTCATATTATTATTCTGTTGGATATTTGAAGTCGATTACTCAGACAAGAAGTGATAATCTGATAAAAATTGATCAGGATAAAATGAAGACGATTTTACTAAGCTGAAGTATTGTAGGTGCAGAGGTTTCTGACGAATGCTTCCAACCGTTTCACCTATGAAAATTTCAGAGAGCACGGCGATGGCAAGCCACCAAGATTGGTGAACATATCGAAAATTCGACTGACAGAATGCAGCCTGCCCCAGAAAAAGTAGACTAGACGCATGACACTACTACTTACTAACTAGTGTACAGTCAAAGTAAATCATTGTTTCAGGATTTCATCATGAGCTGACATTATTTAGAGAATCATTGGAAAACCTGGAAATACTGGACAGCTGTTTCATCTTAGTTTGGGACTCTTCGGCAGTACACACCCAACGGGATTAGAACCCAGGACCTTCCGGTACAAGGCGAGCTCGTATACCATTAAGCCACTGGTACCCGATCGAATGGTTCTTGAATTCTAACTTCTGCCAATTCATGACATAGCGCGACCGCTAGCCAATGTCTTCGGCGAGTATTTGTCCTCACACCCAACCAGCTGCACCCTACTGGTCACGACTTCCCACTACCTACCTGAACAGGGCCAGTCGGCAGTTAGCATCTCATATCTCATGTTCAGGTTTCATCGCATGAAATCTTCATATCAGTTCTAATTAATACACATCTCTGACGACATCGCCACCTTCTCTTCTGATTCTACAATTGACTCAAAACCTTAGTGGCACGAATAGACTGCTCTGAAACACTATAAGATAACTGGAGTTCCAGCTAGTCATTCCTCTATTCAGGATTAAATGTCGAATAGTCTAGCGCTTATTAAGTAACTTAAAATGTGTTTGTTGCACAATACTTATAGGCATTCTACCCATTACTGATTCTTTGATTTCATGATATGGCGGATTTATTTCTGTCCCTCGAGAATCCTTCCAAATCATCAGTGAGGTTTCTTCATTACTTCAATTGTTGATACCATCAGAACGGGAGAAGGCAGCCTAAATTGTTTATTCCATAAAAGAAGACAGGTATATCAATGATATTCTCGTAACCCCTGACTCACTAACTTTAACTCTGTATGCCTGTGTGTTGCACCAAATTCCTATTTTCTCTGGCATTCATTCAGAACCCGAATTTATTATAAATCTTATTTAGTTATCAACGATGTTCCTCTACCGACATTAGTAGTAAGTATCTTGATGTGTTAGCTTTAAGGATGTCATCATCTGCAGATACTAGTGCATACTTCATTATAATCTATAAGTATATTTCTACTGTGGTCAGAACTGAGCAACTAAAACATTCTTTGTACTGTAGGTGACGTCCCTCATTCGCTATTTTTATTCTGTGCTTACAAGTAGGAATGTATATTCATTAAAATATGTAGAAAATCACTCTATACTGTCTCTTCTCCAGGATCTACGCATCCAGTAATATTCATTTAAGAACCGTGAATCCATCTTGCAATGAAGGTTGATTCCACTTCACTCTTCATTCTCACCAATCAGTGAGAAAATAAAACGACTTGTTCGAATTGAATTAGTTATTGACCTTACATAGAAGGACTTTGCACCCTCAGTAGCAAATTGGGTCTGTAAAATAAGACGTTGATAATTATTTCGCTTACTCTGATGTTGAGTCGCATATTGGAATTTTAGGTTCATGCGTACAAAAACATGGAAACCATCACATTTTATTCGACGATTGTGAAAAACGCCTTTTTTAGTGTGAGATGTGGTAATAGAATGAACTACGACCATTCGACAATATATTGCCATATCGATTATCGTCATCAAAGTCACAATATATATAAGCAGATAACGTGTATATTTTTAATCGCATTAACACAAATCCAGGAGTTCCTCAATGTACGTGAGTTACAGCTTAGTCATTGTTGTTATTCAATCTATACTTAGGGATTCATTGCTAATTCCAGTTCCCTATGAATCTTTAAATCTGATCATGGTTTAACAGATATGCACATTCTTGATGTTAGAGAAGGTTAAAGTGAAATCATACAGTTAATTTCATCGTTATTATTATTATGATCCCATTTGGGTTCAGAGAGCAGCTGATCGAATTCGTTTGAATTAACATCTAATTGATATGTCATGGATGAAACCAGTGTTCACATCTAAGATCTTCAATCTAGTAGATATGCGTCATATTTGAATAACTTTATTCACTATTAATGGATATATGACCAAATATGTTTAATTGTTTCCATAGAAAACGAATTCAATTGCGTTACTGCTCAGATATCTTTTCGTATATCAAATAAGATTCTATTCGTGATGCCTAATTTATTGATGTGTATCCTTCCATATGATGAACGAGTTCTCCTTGACGGAACTCAGAAACTAACCAAAAAACGAAGTAGCTAGTTTTGCTAAATCGTTTTTTATAATTTCACTCTTCTCAAAACCGATAAGCCGATTCATTTCACACCACTGCTAATAAAATTTGAGAGAATTAATCCACGCAGCCACATGCTTGTGTCGCAATCGTAATCTTCATTCTAACATGATCAATTGATTTTGATCGGATTTACATCTTCAGTTTTCTTGTCTGATGTCAAAACATTTCTAGAATATCAGAAGATGATACGCTTCAACTCATCTCGTACGCCTTCAACATACCTGAGGAAGCAATCAATGAGTATCTTCAGCTATCTGTGGGTATGGATACCGTGGTTTGGTAAAAATAACTTCTTTCTAATCTCAGTTCATAATTGATTTGATGGTGATGGTGGTGACTACAACTGTGATCATCGTTCTGTTCATGAGAAAGTATAATTCAACAAAGTAAATGTTTAAATATTATTTTGGTTTACAGGAATGAACTGCGCGAATTTTTCATGGGACGGTTCTATTTGGTGTATATCATTTTGTAAGTTCTTTATTCAGTGTTACCCAGTGACCATTGAATAAGTGTCTGTACACTATAACAACTTGAATTCACTGATAATACACATGATTACAACGTTTTAGCGTACATTTCAACTTAACTTCAAAGACTAGTGAAATGTAAAGCATAGAACGACAGTGTGTGAAAAGTACATCACTGAAGTCGATGCATTCTAATTTAAATATAATTTCGCCAAAGTATAGCTCTGCTCAGTTATCAAGGTCAAACTGCATTGTTTTGCCTATCTCTACTCCAGGAATAAGACTTATGAATCTGATATGTAGTCACAAGATGTCTACTTTGTTTTTGACAGTTTCATATATTTTGCTATGTGTATATTGATCGATACTCCACTATAAATCACAATATGCGTCAGTGGCACAGTGTTTAGGACCTTAGCCAGCCATGAACATGGTTCTGGGTTCGGTCCCCTGCCGACGCACACCTGATATCAATGGTTGGCCTGGAAAATTTGGGCTACCGATGTCACATGCTGACTATTTCATACTTGTACCAAAAATACGGTGTGGAATCAAGCGGTAATCGAAGAATATAAAAATATGCTTTGTCTGTCCATTAACTAAATAAACAATGTATGAATTTTTTGTCACATGTCATTGCAACCAATCGGAACCCAATGAAGTTAAGGAAAACTACTGTCTATCTTACTGGTTCATGTATGATAGTCATTTTCATGTATACTTTTTAACTCTACAGTCAAGACACTTTTTGTACTAGCTTTGACACCTTTCGTACACTACGTAACTTTTCACTCACGCACTTGTTTGACCGTCGATTTCTGTTGTCCAAAAATTAACTTATCATCGTGAACCTGGTGGTCTTTAATTTTCTGCCTTCACGCGTCAGGACACTTAACTACTCAGCAGTACATAACAGAATCGGAATGAGAATGCAATACATTCTGTTAATAATGTCAGTTTCAAATAAGAGGACTGGATTGTAAACACATATGCAGTCGGATATAAAATCACTATTACTGGAAAATCAAGATTTCGATATTTCCTGGTGACCATAATTATGTAATAAATCCTTTCGATTAATTCTATGCTCATTCAGATGAATTTTTCATCTTCGCAAATTGATTTTAGATCAGTCGGCGTCTTCCTGTTCTTTCTGTCTGTATTCGTGAAACAAATCCGTTCGAAATCTCTTCCTGTTTGCATAATGCTTGAATTTACAGTAAGTGTGAAATTGATTTAATCTAAGATCATGAAATTGGGAGGATTGTCACTAATTTGTGTGTAAGTGATGGATATTAGATGGTATATTTTAAAACGTGTGTACACATATGCATGTAGTCAGCTTATCTACTCATTTCTACAATTCATATGACATGCTCTCGTTACCTCTATTATTGCTACTATTGTCATCAAGATAATAGTTCATTTCATGAACATCAATAGACAGAACACCAGTAATTCAGCGGAGAATTTCTTTTCAGCGAATTCGCTGAATTACATTCTAACTCAATGCACAAATTCTACTCTTACTCTCTTTCTTTATTCACCTATGCATTTGGAAAGACAAGTGAAGCTGATGCACAGTATACTCATCATATGAAATGAGGAGTGATTTGAACTCTTCGAAAATATCAGACTATCTGAAAGTGGAGTGAATGTTAAATGATTCCTGCACACTCAGGCAACACAATGAAGCAAAATGTGCAGTTAACTACTAAATCAGCAGTCTGTATGGAATCACGTTGAATACTGTCTGAAATTCAGTGACACTACTTCTCCTGACAGATGCTCTTTGCAATCTTGTAATGGTGTTGTCACTGCAGAACAAAAATAGAATTTTGTAATGGCATATAATATTTAGCAACTCGATGTATAGATATAATCAAAATATATGTACCTTGTATTGAAGTCACAAGTTGCTTATATCTTATGTATTCCACTCATTCATCTGCCTTCCCTTGTTTTCCACATAATTTCACAAGAATCATTCATTAATTCTCCTTATCATAAGATCCATCTGTCTGCTATCCGATGTTTCCCAGGTGATACACATGTTTCCATCTAAATCTACATACTGCTTAAAAATCTTGTCAGTAGCATACGACACAACATCAAATTTTGCCACATAGTTCAATGAAATAACACAGTCGGCAGGTTATTATGATTTTTTCTACTGTTTACACTGACTCCATTTTAGTTCATCAAAATCGAATGAGCTCATTATATTTTCACTTCATGCATAATAAGTCATTCCAACCCCACTCATAGTGTGATGTACGTATCGATGGGACGTGTAGAATATTTCATAGCTAACGGAATTGCATCGTGTTTGAGAAACAAGTCTGTGAATGTAGAAATCCTAGACAGGTTGACGATTACTTCAGCATTTGATTGCTGTTGCAGCAACACTATGAACTACTGATGACAGAATGACATACACCTTGAGGCAGACAGTTTGATTATTTTTCTAGTGTGAACTGTTGTCTTCCAGTGATGGTATTAATAACATCATTCTTGTGAGGTTGGTGAGTATTTGCACTTACGATGAGTGTTATGTGCATATTATGTCCGAATTTATAGGAATGTCAATATTCCAATGTTTTTCATATTGTTTTCTTCTATATCTTGTTATAGGATATACTGTGGTCTGTGTGCTTGGCTGCTAACTTGCCATCCTTCAACATGATGCTTGTATTACTATCACTGGCTCCGACAGTTGTGTTTACACTTCTGATAGTCGTACTGGCTTTACAACTACCACCTTTTAATCTGAATGGAGTCGCACTCTTCGCTTCTGTATCAGCCATCTTTGCGATGTTGTCAATCATCACGAATGTTTGCAGTTGCTTGATCATGAAAGGTGTTATTTCAGTGGCGAGTGTAAGACCTTTTGACTAAATTAGAGAGGATGTACACGTATTGCCCATCCAATAAAGCGAATTCTCAAAATAACAAATAAATTTCCTTTCAGTCACACCTTTCTTGACAGTCGGAATTAAATAGAATAAGGAATGGGATGTCGGCTGATTCAGATCGGATACATACACCAGCTGCCATCCTTGCGTATATTCAACCTCCTTGTGACGTATGCCAATAGTAACTGGTTCATTTCGATTGACATATATGTAAAACTCAGGAACTGTGAAAATGTGTAACTAGATGCATGGAACAGTGAGACGTTATTATTCAGTGGATGACGTTTCCAGTGGAATTTATTTCTCCTAATCATTTCAGTTATCATCTTGAACAAGAACCTGTGTTCGAAACTTTATTCAGTACGTAATACGTTTTCACAACTGACACGGAAATTCGATCGATTCCATATTACCTGTCATCATAGTGTTCGATAGGATAGAGTATACTGATCAACGCTGAAGTTAATTTCATACTGTAATCTTATACTGATTGATATATATGACTTTCACTTTTGAATGTAATGATATTTCTTTGTAGTTCATTCAGCATACGTCATAATTAGCTGTGATATTTGTAGTCCGAAATATGGCTACCAATCCCATTGAATCTTTCAAGACATGATATCTTGATGGTCGGCATTGTTGAGATCTGAAGCGTTCATCATGAAAGATGTGTTCATGAGGTAATATGCGTACAACAATAAACCTAACTGTGTTTCTTCTCAAGTCATCTACTCTATTTCTGCATTTATTTTAGACTCAGATAATCTGCATTCTGGAATTGATTTTCACTGGGTTGTTCATAATCTTCGTAAGTTCATAATTTGATGAGTGTATCCAACATTCTTTTTAATAGTGAAATGACACATATCCCTTGATTCATTAAGTGGTCACATTTCATATTGCGTTTTTGTAATTTCATGTCAAACGGATTGTTCGACAGTATACTTACAATGCACAGGATGTCATAACTGCACATAGTAAATCAATTAGCAGACGGAATTATGCTACATTCCTAGTTGTGATGACAGTCACATCAGCTGCAGCCGAGAATATGTGGTTTATTACTGCTACGATCAACAACATTTACTGATTTTCGTGCAAGGAATCAGAGTGCGTATATATCTAATCCTTTCATTACAATACACCGGGTGCTATACACTGTCAGTTCAACTTACGCTTTATTCCATGCTGTCCTACTGTATGCTGAGGACATCTGCCATATTAAAGAATACTGACAAGGTGGACAGTGACATATTTAGTTTCGAACATCTATTCTTGAATTAGTCGTAGATTTGCATAGCTTTTTTATGAAATAACAATGGGATATATACATGCGAAATGCGACAGTGGAGTATGGTAGTCTTAAATTGCTATGAAAAATAATCAATCAACAATTATCATTTCACAGGAAATATTTTATTTATTTTTTTATTTTGATTATAGCTTGACTCCATACAGCATTTTGGTACAAGTATGAAATTTTCAGCATGTGATACGGATAGCCCAAATTTCGTAGGCCGACCATTGATATCATGTGTCCGTTGGCAAGGGATCGAACCTTAGACCATGTGCTTGGTTGGCGAGAATCCTAACCGCTGTGTCATTGACCCGTACATACCTTCCAATGGCAACAAACATATCAACTGGATTTAGCTTTCAGGCGAATAAATTCATATAGCGGTAAAATAGCAACCATTTAGAATTCTATTTTTTGCTACGTGTCTGTGTGCACAGCAGGCAAATCCAAATGTTTTTCTGGGTATGTTTGTGAGTTGAAAATAATGGACATCTGCCTGATAAGCTTCAGGATCTGATTTAGAAAGAAGACTGAGTCGAGACACTCCTCGTTGAAATTGATTCTGGGTATTTCTCCGCTTTGCTGAGAGATATTTTTTTATTTTTGATTTACAGCTTGATTCCACACTGTATTTTTGGTACAAGTGTGGAATTTTCAGCGTGGATATCGGTAGCCCAAATTTTGCAGGCCGACCATAGATATCAGGTGTGCGCCAGCGTGGGCTCGAACCCCGGACCATGTGCATGGTCGGCGAGAGTCCTAACCACTGTGCCACCGACGCACAGTCGATTCGATTCACTATCGTGATTAATCTCACAGAAAGACGTCGTTTCAAGTATTTCATACATTATCCTGTAAATATATTCCTTCTTTCTTTGCTCAAACATTGTGTACGGTCAGGAATACCCGACGTAATATTGGAAAAGCTTTTGTCGCGGTCATGTCTGTGCTAAGCCGAAATCTCTTCAACATCACACTAGGAACCATATTGATTCCAGCCGTTGAAATAGAGGGAAATAGAGCTTAAGAATCCTCTGCATTATGTGAATTAACAGACGATTAACATCAGGCATGTATTGACTATATCACTGTTTTTATAGAGAAGCGTAAACAACATCCATTCAGAAATAATGAAAGGTCTATTGGCTGCATAAGTGCAACAAGAATTTCTGGAAGATCGTATAAAATTCGTGACCTATCATTCTTCAATACCCATATCTCTCATAAAACTGGAGACCTTGTCTGCTTGTCAACATTCTGCCACACCAACTGAAACAAACATGAGCAAGTGTCATACATATTTCGAATTTGAAAATTTAACCATACGAATTTGTGATATTCTTCCAGTCACTCATGAGGAGTTCAAATGTTATAACTGAGTGATTCTAGACTCATATCGTCTGTATCTCAGTGCACACTCCAGTTACAGTAGCGTTTTACTGAGCAACAAAGAAAGGAATTCAACCATTTGAGACATAATATGGAAGTGTTAGTTACACGACTTGATGCAAGCAAGTACAGCATAGCCCTAAAGGATGGAAACGTCTATATTGTGTGTCTGTCTGTTTTCGACATAGAACTTTGCACAAATGTGCACCAGTTCAAGTCGCCACATTCCGTGTAGCACGCGAAGCAAGAGAAGAAAGTACAAGAAAAGTATAATAGAAACAGTGAGCAGAGGTGTGAGACAAGGGAGTAATAAAGAAAAACAAAACAGTTTCATTGAAGATCATAAGTCACAGGGAGTGGATGCATCTGCGCTAGCCACTGAGAACGGTTTTGAGCCATGTCACCAATTGTTTCCAACCATAGATTTTTACCGTCCCGAGGACCCCAGCCTGGAAGTCTACACCTTCCTATGTGGCTTAGACCAACTGTTGTGGATTTCATTGACTGATGCCAAGTTTTTGTTTGACCGCCGCTAGCTTTTTTCCAGCCTGACCCTATATCCGCTAACATAGCTCGTCGAGGGAGGCGATGACTTGGCATACGTAACACATGTCCTAACCATCTCAGTCTTTGTAGCTTCACGACTTCGTCGATTGATTTCCCCTGTTTACCTAGAACTCTACGCCTAACCTCAATGTTGCTCACCTTATTATGCCACTTTACACGGGAAATAGAACGCAGGCACCTATGATCAAAGACAGCTTGCCACGCTTTTCATGTCTTCCACTCTCAGTGGCCAGGTCTCACTCACAACCATAAAGGAGGACGGAGCGGACTGATGAGCAGTACACCCGCCCTTTGGTCGATAGTCGAACATTTGATCTACGCCAGAGTCGGCGTAAACTGGCAAATGCGGAACGAGCCCCCTGTATCCGTGCTGAGATTTCGTCAGAGATCAGCCCGTTGGGGCTGATGGTACTTCCCAAATAAGTGTAGCTGTCAACGTGCTCTACCACTTCACTTCCTATTTTTAAATTAGGCGTCGATGTAGTCCAGTCCTGTAACATCCTCTTGCATTTGGCTGGAGCGAATCGCATGCCAAACATTCGTAGATTGCGGCTCAGTGTGTTTAGAAGACTCTGCATTTCGTCAGCGTCTTCGCCTAGAAGGACTATATCGTCTGCATATTCCAAGTCAACAAGATTATTCCCCGGTAGCAAGTCAATCCCTGAGTCGCTGAAGTCACCTAGGGTTAAGTCCATTAACACATCTATGATGAAGTTGAATAGAAAAGGAGATAATGGGCATCCTTGACGGACACCACTAGTCGTCACCAGTTGAGATGACAGCTCGCCGTAAGCCCTCACCTGGCTGTATGAGTACGAGTAGAGTGCCTTAATCAGTGCAATATATTTTCTCGGAATTCCCTTTACAGCCAAGCATCTCCAGAGAACTTCTCTATCGACAGAGTCGAATGCTGCCTTTAGGTCAAGAAATATAATGATTGTTGGACGCCGGTAGGAATGCCTATGTTCTATATTGACAAAATGCTGTCAGTCCTCGACAACAAGAACTTCTCTACAATTGGTGGATGGTGGCTAGCAGTGGAATCCAGGATGCGCATTTCGTCCTATTTGGGACTCGTCAGCTAAATGTACCTGCATTTCTCAGTGAGTGATGGTGTTCCCACCGAGGCTCGAACCCAGTACCCATAGTTTCGAACGCCAAAGCGTTATTCACTAGACCACTGGGGCCACGAGAGCCACCTCTTGTGCAACGGGTCATATTAATTATTGAATTGAATTTTTGATTTTCCCGTCGATTGATTGGACCGAAGTGCTCGGTCTCAGGACGAAATGCGCATCCTGGATTCCACTGCTAGCCACCATCCACCAATTGTATACTAATTAAATACCAGACATCGTCGAAGCATCTGCACAAGAAGCCGACATGTCAACCTGAGACCGAACACTTCGGTCCAATCAATCGACGGGAAAATCAAAAATTCAATTCAATAAGAACTTCTCTATATTGAACGAAGAGAAGAAGAAAATAGAAATAATATTGAGGGTGCTAATCAATGATGAAGTGTTCTCCAAAGGTGTCTACGGAGTCATTCTACCATCCGAGTTAATAATCCGTCGACTGAATGGTTAACCAGGGATTACCATTGTTCCTGATTCCAGACATGTATGGGTCTTTGTATCATGCAGTTGAAAAAAAATTAGCAGAAAACTTGCAACCTGTTCGAGAAGATATTTCAAACAACTCTCTCCGGGAGACGCTCGATTTCGTCGACTGTATTAAAGAAGTGAGAGTCGTTGATGACCGCATGACTTCACTCGATGTTGAGTCAACCTCGACAGTAATAAAGAAGTGAACCTCGCCAGATACTAGCCTGCTAGGCTACTAGCTTACTAGTTTTCTAGCCGGTCCCAAGCCCGGGTAAAGAGGGAGGGTTGGGGCGTGGTGCTAGCAACTCCACCCCTGTAAAACAACCAAATCGCTACAGAAACTTCAACGAATAAATATATTAAAAATTCTAAAAACATAAGCAATAGCCTTACTTTTCGCTGGAATCGGGGAAGTGAAATGACGCAGGCTGGTGAAAGCCTTCGGGAAGCCAGTCAGCCGATGTGCCTTCTTTCGATGAAAGCAAAAGTAAGGATGGGTACCTGGAATGTTCGTACAATGTACGAAACTGGAAAGGCTGCCCAGATAGCCGCTGAAATGAGAAGGTACAGAATAGAAGTGTTGGGAATCTGCGAAAGCAGATGGAACGGAACTGGAAGGTGCCAACTACCTACTGGAGAGACAGTAATCTATTCCGGCCACCCAGAGGACAACCACGAGCACACCGAGGGAGTGGCCATCATGATGTCACCAACAGCAACCAAAGCTCTCATGCAGTGGGAACCAATCTCCTCCAGGATAATGACAGCCAGGTTCAACTCAAAAGGAAGGAAAGTTACAGTCATTCAATGCTATGCGCCTACAAACGTCTCAGAACAAGAGAAGAAGGAGGCGTTCTACAGACAACTACAAGCAATAATGGACAACGTCCCAAATGGCGATATCAA